TCTCCCTTTCATTCTGGAAACGTGGCTGTGAGAGCATCTGCAGCATCACTCTGCAAGCATGTTACTGGTCATGCATGAGCCCCTGTGTGGGCACGTCCATTATTTATGTGTGCGCATGTGTCTCCCAATGCGCTCTTGTGTAAGTGTGTGCCGGCACGTGGGCCTTCCTCTCACGTGTCCCTGGGTGTGCATGTTGCAGGGAGGAACGAGCACTGGGTTACCAAGGTGGGGAGCCACTTTCTAAGCTGGTGGGTGCTGCCCGCAGCATGAAAGGCTCCCCCACTCCAGCCCTCTGCTTGGTTGTAGCTTGCAGACCTGTTGTTTTTCAGGTCATTGCACTCTCAAGCAGATAGCAGCCTTCTTGCTATTTTCCCTGACACACGTCACATTCAGTTGGTTTTGTTTGAAGCCGGCCCCTCTGATCCTGTCACTAACAATAAGGAACCCTCCCTTGTTTCTCCTCCTAAACCTCCTCCTGACACAGTCATTCCCTGTGGGATGTTTCTCCGGTGCATGTTCCAGGGGGCATGTTTAACTGTTTCAGTGACACAACCCTTCTTCAGGTTGGGGGCAGAATCATCATGAGGGTCAGGGGTCTAACACAATGTCAGTGACTGGCTGATGTGAGCCAGAGACCAGACCTCCACACTTTCAGTGCAACCAGACACAATGTTTCCCTCTGGCCCCATGTTAGTTTGGAAAAATGAAGATTAAGGGGGGACATGATAGCGGTTTTCAAATATCTAAAAGGGTGTCACAAGGAGGAAGGCGAAAATTTGTTCCTCTTGGTTTCTGAGGACAGGACAAGGAGTAATGGGCTTAAAGTGCAGCAGGGGAGGTTTAGATTGGACATTAGGAAAAAATTCCTAACTGTCAGGGTGGTCAAATATTGGAATAAATTGCCAAGGGAGATGGTGGAATCTCCCTCTCTGGAGATATTTAAGAACAGGTTAGATAGACATCTGTCAGGGATGGTGTAGATGGAGCTTGGTCCTGCCTTGAGGGCGGGGGGCTGGACTCGATGACCTCTTGAGGTCCCTTCCAGTCCTATTATTCTATGATTCTATGATTCTATCTGCTATATGGTGTTAGCATCAGAGCCTAGGCGTTGATCCAGATCCAGGGCCACTTTGTGTGTGGTAAGGTAGAAGGGAGTAGGGTGGGGGTGGAGTAGGGAGAAGGCATGCCATTGTTGTCTCTTACCCCTACCACTCCTTGTCCCTCACAAACGCTCCCAGAGTAACCTTGAATTGAGCATCTCCCTAAACATTAAATAATCCAGAGTGATTCACTGCTTAAGGTTGTAGCCATGTACATTTCATCCCCTTTCCCTCAGCACAGGAGAGTGGTGAGCCCAGACATATCTTGTGGACAGTGGGAGGGAATGGAGTGGATCGTCATACTTCCTTTGTTCTCTTACCCACCCATCTCCCTGGTATTTGTGCCAAATTCTAGAGTGGGAGACTGGGAACCAGGACACCGTGTTCTTTTTCTAACTGAAGAAATGGAAGAGTCTAGTGGCTAGAGCATGTGTGTGTGTTGGGGAGTGGGACTGGAAGTTACGGTTCCTGGGTCCTAATCCCTCCCTAGTAGTTAGAGGCAGGAAACTAGAAGCCTGGGCTTCTGCATTCCATTCCCTGCTTCTGCACAGACCCGCTGGGCAATGTCAGGCAAATCACGTTTCCTGTCTTGGCACCTAGGGATGATAGTACCCCCTTTCAGGGGAGGGCTGCAAGGTATCACTCTTTAACGTCTGCTGTGCTTTGAGGCCTCCGATGGACGGAGCTAAATGCAAAGAGTTATTAGTCCTGCTTGGTGTAACAGGAACCTCATTGGATTGAGGCCTGGGACGAACTGGGACTCGAGAAAAGTAACTTACTTGCCAGTGTGTTCCAAACCTGATGTCGTATGTCCATGTCCTCTGAGCCGCGAGACTCACAGAAGGTTGATGTTTCTGTATTTGCCCCTAGGGGACAGGAAGCTGTTTGTGGGGATGTTAAATAAGCAGCAGTCAGAGGATGATGTGCTCCGGCTCTTTGAACCCTTTGGGGTCATTGATGAATGTACCGTGCTTCGGGGACCTGATGGCAACAGTAAAGGTGCGAACCTCCTCTGTCTGTCATGCCTGTTCCATGGATTGGGACTCTGCCTTGCTGTCCCTGTGCACTGGGGGTATGCCCCGCAGCCCCTGCATTCTGCACTGGGTGGCTCTGTACATCAGGACTGTTTCCCAGCCAAAGAGGGAGGGTGGTGGGCAAGAGGAGAGCTCTGCATCAAAGAGGGGGAATATGGCTTGGGGTCAGACCCTGGGTCAGCAGACATTAACATGCCCAGCTATCTGTCTGAATTAGCTGGAGCACCTGCCAAGCCATCCTCCCAGTCCCTGCCTCCATCTGGCCTTCTGGCCTTGCATCTGGAATGCTTTGTAAGGATTGACCTGAGCAGCATGCTCCAGATCTCAGACTCTGGGCGGGTTTGGATCCAGCCTTGGGCCTGCTCCTCAGTACATAGGTGGAGCTTGGCTCCTGGCCTCCCTCTCACCTCTAGTATCCTTTGCTCTCTGTCCCTTCCAGGCTGTGCCTTTGTAAAGTTCTCGTCTCACACAGAGGCCCAGGCAGCAATCCATGCACTGCACGGCAGCCAGACAATGCCTGTGAGTATGAGTCCAAGGTACCCACCACGTCTCCTGTTCCCCATCTCTATTCAAGTGACCAGCAGCTGGGAATCCCCAGCCCCATACATCAGCGTAATAGGCACACACGTGTTATGTCCTGTATGGCTGGGAGTGTGTGTGTGTGTGTGTGTGTGTGTGTTTCTGCTCTGCCTGTGTTTGGTTGGATCTGCCCAATGTATCCCATCTATCCTAGGCAGGGCTGGCGTGGCGGCCATGTTGTGGTGTTTGCCATGATAGTTCTGGCTGTGAGTGGACAGGGCAAAGGCATGTGTGTGAATTTGAACTCCTGTATGCATGTGGTTGCATGTAACCTGATGTGCATCTTGTTGCCTGGATGTCAGTGTTTGCAATTGTGTATCTGTGACTGATTTGGGATTGGTGTGATTAATGGGTGCCCTGGGTCCTATGACTGAAAGGATCATGTGTCTGTGCCCAGAGTGCATGTCATCGGGAGCATTCGGGGGTATGGTGTGCATGGGTGTAAATGCTTTGCACATACTTTGGGGTGGGAAAAAACATCTGTCCTTTGTGGTGGCATGATGGTTACTGTATAATGGTGCGTTCTTTCTGTATGTCACCCAGGGCACTGTGGGACTGCCTTGCTATGGCAGTCGCTATTCTAGGAGACTGCGTGTGTAGCTTGTTTGTCTGCATCCACAGTTGTGCATATGTGCCCAGTGTGCCAACACTTTACACAACCATATCTGCAGCTGTGTGTCCTGTGTGGGTGTGAGAGCAACAGGACGGTCGGCGCTGTACCTGTGGCTGGGTGCCCTGGACATCCCAGCTGCAGCAACCCATTCTCTTGTGGGCCTGTCTGTAGCCGCAGTCACCAACTTCTGAGACTGGGCAGGGCTCCCCCGATGGGCCAGCCAGGTTTGGATCTCAGCCAGAGCCTTTCACTCTATTCGCTGCTCTGCTGCCACTCCTCCTCTCTCCCTCTCTGAGCTGCCTCTCCTGCCAGTGCTGCCCAATGCCCTCACTGCTGTGCTCTTCTCTCTCTCTCCATCCCTCTCTCTCTGTCTCCTCTCTCTCTGTGCATAGGGTGCCTCCTCCAGTCTAGTCGTGAAGTTTGCTGACACTGATAAGGAGAGGACTCTACGTCGGATGCAGCAAATGGTGGGGCAGCTGGGGATTTTCACTCCATCTCTCGCCTTGCCGTTCAGCCCGTACAGCGCATATGCGCAGGCTGTGAGTATCGTGGGACTCTATCGCTGTGGTGTGACACCACAGAGACCAGGGCTGGCGGAGACCTGCTGGTTCCCAGAGCGGGTGTGACTGCTTGTGCAGCAGGGCCTGGGAATCGTTCCCCAAATGCTGGATTTGCAGTCTTGGTCTGGGACTGCAGCTTGAGCTGACATGCCCAAGCTCATTTTGATCTAGCTTACTCAAGTGCAAGCTTCAGCGCAGGCTTTACAACCCTTACCCAGCACCCTGGGTATTTACTCATTACCCCATGCTGAGGACCTGCTGCTGCTTCCCTGCTGTGGGAACCGGCCTAGCTAGATGAAAGCTGTCCTGGGGAGGTCAGCTGCAGTGCATTCACGCCCCAGATTGCAGGGTAGGTTTGTGTTTGAAGCTTCGGTGCCTGGGACTTGTGCATTTCAAGCAATGATGTATTTCTCTGACATCCGGTACATTGTCCCTGCCAGGGTTGGGTGTATTTCTCTTGTAGTCCTTGTGAATCAGTGTGCCATAGTGGGTCGTAGCAATGCAGGTCCTCATGGGTTTCTCTTTTAGCTTTTGCTGCAGTGCACAGGAGAATCCTAGCATCAAGTACAGGGGTGGGCAAACTATGGCCCATGGGACCTATCAGGGCTTTTCATCCAGCCTTTAGAATTACCAGTCCAGCAGTGCAGTGATGCTAAAGCAGGCTCCCTGCGTGTCCTGGCTCTGTGACACTTCTGGAAGTGGCCAGAATGTCCCTGCAGCTCGGGGGGCAAAGAGGGGGACAGAGGACTCCACATGTGCCCTAACCAACAGGCGGCATCCCCGCAGCTCCCACTGAATGTGGCAGCTAATGTGATCCCCCTCTTGCGCCCTACATCCCCTGCCCCAACCTACATTCATGGGCCATCATACAGTTCCCCTACCCAGATGTGGCTCTTGGGCCAAAAGGCTTGCCCGCCCTGTTCTAGTCCAACATTGTTGGCTCTGGAGTGTTTCTCTCGTCACTGACGTGATCGCATGCCTAGGATCTGGGAGAACATACCTGGCTCTGCTATAAATACCTGGACAGGACAGGGGACATCTTCTAGCACCTGAGGTTTGCTTCAAGCTCCCCCATCCAACTACTGGCCACCCTTGGCCTAGTTTCACTATAGTGAGGTCCGAGCCCAAGGGAGCCAGCTCCAGCGCAGTGTGGGCTTTTGTCTGCGCCAGTTTTTGGTGGAGTAGGCAGGGGCAGGGGCACAGGGAGGTCCTGGCAGGAGAACTAAGTGCTGACCTAGCGGCATTTACAGATTAACTCTTTCAGTGCCTGCCAGTATTCTCCCCCTCCCCCCGCCCTTTGTTCTCCAGAAATTCGTATTAATGCTGAAATGCATGGCCAGGCCTAACCATAGAGATGAGTGGAGGGCATGGTAGACAGTGTGAGCAACTGACAGGAGGCTCCTGCACCTAGCCACTTGGCTGTTGACTTACAGGTGGATGTTTAGAGGGGCTAGGCATCCCTGACTCTGCTTGCACTCAGTGGGAGAGCAGGCATTTAGCACTTGTGCACCCCAGGTCCTTCTTGTGCTGCTTGCTTCTCTTCGTCTCCTAGTTCCTTCTCTTTGACTTGAGGCTTGGCCTTCACCGCCTCTTTCAGTCTAGACTTGCCCTTCCCCCCACTCCTTCTCCTTGACTTCATTCCTGGCCTTTTCCTTCTAGACTCTTGGCTTGGCCTGCTTTCCTTCCCTTTGACTCTACACCCATTCTTCCCCTTTCTTTTCTTATGGACTGTAGGCCAACCCTGAGCTTTTAGTTAGATTGTTGTTTCCCTTGGACCATAACTCGTACTCGTCTTTCGAGTTTCCTCTCGCTGAAGGTGGGATCCCAGACTGTTCTCATTCTCCCAATCTCCCGGGTGTCAGGAGTCTCTGCAGTGTTAAGCCTGGGAAGCTTCCCTCCGTGTATGTTGACCAAGTGGCACAGAAGAAGGATTTCTTAGCAGAGTCCTTGTAGATGTATTCTGAATGCTAAGAGCTCAGCTGACCTCTGTAATGGCTAAAGGTTTTTCTAGGACTGCAATAGGTAGAAGACTTGATATTGTGGCTGTTCCCTGGCTGAGTGGATGCCGTTATTTGAATTTATCGATGCAGCAAGCTGGTGGAACTGCATGATACCTAAGGAACCTCTTTTGATGTTTGGTCCGTAATGTGCCAGCCGGGTACTCGCTGGGCCTGTGGGCTGAAGTGATTAGATGGGTTAGAATAATTGAAATGGTAATATCTCACACAGGGCGGAGAAGGTAAACAGTGGGGGCTCCGTGTAAGGACAGGAGTGGTTAAGACTGTGGTTTAATACCACTTCCCAGAGCACAGTGCCACCTAGCACCTCCCTGGCAGTTTGGTTTGACTTGGTCTCGTTTTACTTACTAAGAGCTCCTCAACACTCCCAACCCTGGCTCGGCCTGTGAGGTGTCCCAGTCTAGTAACTACCACCAGGCTGATCCCTGCTTTCCTTAGGAGTGGGAGCCACTGGAAAAACAACACATGCGGGGCTAGTGGCAACCCAGATTAATAGACAGATAAGCAGCTTCTTCTAGGGAGTCCCCACTAGATAGCACTTCTGGGGGGTCCTAGATAGCAGCTCTGTGGCCGTTCCAGGCTTCCTGGAGAGTCTGTGGGGTGGTAGCCATTGGGCAGGAGTTTCCTCTCCTCAACTGGGGCACTTCCTTTGGGGTGGGAGGATGTGACAGCCACCCTCTTGACCGCTGATACTGAGCCCTGCACAAGTAAACAGCACAGGTGGTGTGATCCTCACTGCAGCGTGCAGGCATTTTCAGGGAAGGGAATTTTCTGCCTAGATGCCAAAATACTTTATTGCAGGGGCTGGGGTAGAGGACCTCTTGAGGTCCCTTTCAGTCTTACTTTTCTGTGATTCTCCCACCTTTCCCAGTAGCTGCCCTGCTGAGCCAAATATTGCCCCACCACACCTTGCTTCTGCCATTGTAAAGAGACATTAGTGACACAACTTAGCCAACTCCTTTTTTTACTCGACAGCTGGGATCAGAGGAAGTGCTCAAGCTAGATTTGTGTCTAAGAGCTATCAGCTCCCTGACTCTAGAAATCCCCCATTTCAGTCCCCCCATGTTTGCAGATCATTGGGACACATTGCAAAGGCTCTATGTATATTCAGTCTTTTTAGGGGGTGAGTTAAGTTGGTGCGTTATCCATTACAGTTGAGAAGAGGCAGGAGTGGGGTGAATATAAGGAGATTCTCTATTGAGGCTCCTGGACACATACAGACCTTGGTACTGTATTCCCTCTGGCTCATTAGCTCCCAGCTTGGACATTTCAGATCATCACACAAAGGTCTTCCTCCTTGCAAATTTCACACCATTTATTCACTGTCATCCTTGCTTGTGAGAAACAACAGTATCACATGCTATCATAGGGTTATAAACGGGCTGAGTAATTTTGTATCCATTAATGACTTTTGTAACTATTTGCGCTAAGATCTATGTAATCAAATCTCATGCCTCAGAGCATCCATTGATGGCCAAAGAGGTTGGGAAGAATGTTCTCTTCCTCCTGCTTCCTTACCCCAGTGTGCTTCTCTGCCTAGTTAGCCAGGTGCATTATGACAGCAGAGGCTGCTTCTGGTGGCAAAATGCCTCTTATTTTGGATGGCAAAGTTTGTGATGTGCACTCAGCCTGAGGGGATGCTGAGTGTTCTTTGTGTGCTGGGTATAAAAAGGATTCCATGTGTCTGAGCACAATGCAAATGTAGAGCAGTCAGCTCCCAGCAATGGGCTGAGTGCTAGGAGAGCAATAGCACAGAGCTACCTTTGGACCAGAATCCTACAAAGGAAAGTAGGGGAATCCCCATCCTTACGGCTGTTGAAAACCACATTGGAGCATGTACTAAGGAAAACTTCCTACAGAGCAGTCGTGTACTGGCCCCGTGGGGGGAGATGGCTGGGAGGAAATGCCTTACTAGCCTTTAGCATCTCTAACTTGTCTGGTTCATACAAGGTCTCCCTTCATGAGTTCTAAAGACCAGTTTGGAAGGAGGCCCACAGGGTGGAGCAGTTCTATAGCCACAACGCATCAAAGCGTCTTTTGCAATGAACTGGCAAGTATGTATGTGGTACCTCTGCCCTCTGTGGAACAGAATCAGAGTTTTTCAATTGTGTATCCTTGACCCTCTACTGCTATGATTTTCCTTTAGCTCAAACTCTAGGGGCCTATGTTTTCAGAACAGGAAAATCCTCAGGTTCTAGCCTGGTTGCTGCCATGAGGGGTCATAGTGTGCAGCACAAAAACTGCGTAGGAAGCAGTGGATTTGTTATAGAGCGAGAGAGATGAGCCAGAGAAGGGGTGGAGATACAAGCTGGAGCTGGTGCAGACTGGAGCTTGCAAGCTCAGTTGAGGCCAGGGTTCTGGTCAGACATGGACAAAAGCTCTTGGGAGCAGCACATCCCCAGAACTTGCCCAGAAGGGAATCAGCTCCTTCTGCTGGTGAATCAGACCTGGGATCAAATACACTGCAGCCAGGTTGGGGTTGACCCCTCGAAGCTCAGAGGGGTATGGCTGCGAGGCCTTGCTGGCCTGGTGCAGTCCCTGCAGAAGCAGTGGCTCAGGTGAGTATCCAGGGAGTGAAGATGAGCAGGGCTGCCTATGCTGCTGTCCTAGCCCCCTACAAGGGAAGGCATGGCCAATCATGCTGCTCCCTCCCTTATCGGCAGGTTGAGCTAGAATTTGGGTGGATTGTTGAAGTCTGGTGCCCCCTAATGGCTGGGCGGAGATGAAACCTGCCTCTCACATCTGGTTACTGGTTATTGAGCAGGGTGTTGGTCTTAGCATGTGGGCACTGTGGAGCAGGTGGAGCCAGCGTTGAGTAACCCATTAGCCGTGCCCTTGCACCAAGGCTGAAGGCACATCTCTTTGCTCCGTTTCACAGCTGATGCAGCAGCAGACAACAGTTCTCTCCACTTCTCATGGCAGCTACCTGAGCCCAGGTGTCACCTTTTCCCCATGTCATATCCAGCAGATTGGCGCAGTCAGTCTAAATGGGCTACCAGCCACTCCTATTGCACCTACTTCAGGTAGGTGTCAGTCACTTCCAGCTCTGAGGATCGCAGAATTACTGCTATTATTATTTACCCATGTCATATCTGGGTAACAACCAAGAATGAGGCCCCGTTTTGCTAGGCAACAGAGCAGTAGACTATCCCTGGCCTGTGGAGCATCAGTGCTGCAAGCTTCTTCACAGCAGTGCCCTACCAATGCTACTTAGCCCTGTGGCATTGTGCACCTGTCTCCATAGCCCTGCCCTGTCTAGTCCAGCTGAGGCTCCAACAGGGTACTGGACTAGAAGACCTCTCCTGATCCCTTCTGGCCCTATGGTTCTATGGCTGGGAGCTTCTTTCCAGCAGTGACAGCCAGAAGATAATAACGAGTTGTTGTGCAGAGTCACTGGTGGGTTGCAGAGGCCAAGCTAACATGGGGTTTGTTTGCATTTTCCCTCAGGGTTACACTCGCCTCCTCTCCTGGGCACAGCTGCAGTCCCAGGACTGGTTGCGCCAATTACAAACGGGTTCACCGGAGTGGTGCCTTTCCCGAGTGGTCATCCCACCTTGGAGACAGTTTATGCCAACGGCCTCGTGCCCTACCCAGGTATGGAGGACCTACGATCGCTATCTTGTTGGCTCGTAGGGCCAGATGATCTGATGGATCCCACCATCTCCCTAATCAAATGCTGTGGCTCTTGTTAAGCTCTGTGTGTTCTCTCTTTCCTGCTGCTCCCCATTTCTGCTTGTTCTAGGTCTCTCTGTATCTGGGCTCAGCCACACATCACAAACCAGGGACAATGGGGACCCAGAGCTAGTAATCTTCCCTGGTTTCCTGCACAAGGAGTTTCTCAGAGTTCCTAGCAGCTGCTATGGGTCCGTTAAGCTTGCAGCAGAGTCCAGAAGTGTGTATACAGCTGTCTCCCAGGATTCCCTTTTCATTCCTTTCTCTTTCTCCCCTCACTTCAGCTCAGAGCCCCTCAGTGTCAGAGACCTTGCACCCAGCCTTTACCGGAGTTCAGCAGTATGCAGGTACCTGTCCCCTTTTCCAGCCCTTCTTTAGGCTTCCCTTGGGTTTGTGTTCCACCGGGTAACTGGTTTGTCATGTCTCATTGATCGCAGCCATGTATCCGGCCACGACCATCACCCCGATAGCCCAGACCATTCCCCAGCCTCCTCCCATTCTGCAGCAGCAGCAGCGAGAAGGTGAGGACGTGAGTCAGTGGGAAGCTACACTCTGGGGGGGCTGATGCCCCGACGTGCATGGAATTCCCTAGCTGGTGCATGGCAGGGGGAGCTGAACCTCATGTGCTCTGATCTTCTCTTTGGAGAGTGGGCAGAAGCCGAACCTCTGAGCTATCAGAGGGGTAGCCGTGTTAGTCTGGATCTGCAAAAGCGACAGTCCTGTGGCACCTTACAGACTAACTGATGTGTACATCAGGACTCCTTGTAACCTCTGAGCTGTTGCTTGGCTTTAAAGCTGGCAGAGTTGGTGCCACCAAACCACATCAAGGGCACCAGCCCCTTTTGGGGGTCATTCCCATTCATGTGGATCCTGATCTTCAGCCTCTGCAAGTCAGTGCAAAGCCTGCTGTGGGTAGATCAGGCCCTTGATGAGTGGGGAGAGAGGGAAGAGGAGTTGACCCTTTGCAGCCATCTGTCATCAAACAGCCCTGGTGAAGATGGTTGTTCTGGGCACTGCAAAACAGTCTCTGCCCTTCTTGGGCTTTCTGGGTCCCCATCCTCGGGATTTGTTTCTCAGCACGTAACTTCCAAAAACATGACCAGAAGGGGAGGAGAATATTGATGGTCCTGGCATGTGCATCGATGGTCCTGGCACGGGGGTGAGAGACCCTGGCATCACTCCGCAGTGGCTCCCCTCGGCTGCTCTAGGATCCGTGTTGGTGGATTTCCCCATGTCATCAGGGCTAGATCAAGCTTTCTGGGGACCTGCTGAGGTTTACCTCGGGGGGGGGGGGGCGTTAAATGCAGGGTTTAGGGTGTGGAAAGAAGATGTGGGTTGAGGCAGGAGATTGGGCATGGGGGGGAAGATCTCTGACTGGAGGTGTGGGCTCTGGGGTGGAGCTGGGGATGAGATGTTTGGGGTGCAGGAGGGGGTTCTAGGCTGGGGCCAAGGGTTTTGAAGTATGGGAAGTGGGTTCATGACAAGAGGTGAGGGTGCAGGATTTTTGAGAGAATTAAGAGTTCAGGAGTGAGGTCAGGGCAGCAGGTGGGATGCAGTGCCTGGGAGGGGGTTCAGGACTGTAGCAGGGGGTTGTGGTGCAGGGCACTTATCTGGGGCAGTTCCCTTTAGGTGGCATAGGCCCCAGGGAAGGGAGGGGAAAGTGGTTTTGTGCACTGCCCTGTACTTACTTCCAGCTACCGTCCCCTGCAGCTCCTGTTGGCCACAATTCCTAGTCAGTGGGAGCTGCGGGTGTGGAGCCTGCAGGTGAAAGAAGCACCCAAACAGAGTTTCTGGCCCTTGCAGCTCCAGCCCAGCAGGGGTGGGAGAAGGAACAGCTGCACACAGAGCAGAGTCCTCCAATCTTCACCGGGCAAGGACAGAACACGGGAGCTGGAGCCAGAACATAAAAACTCCTGCACTTCATTCCAAAGATCTTTTTGCAGGGCCCCTCTTTGCCTGGGGCCCTGAGCTGCAGCCCTTTCTTAATCCAGCCCTGCTCAATGCAACAGGCTGACTCCGTAGGTTTGTAATCTGTAAGCGGCCAGGTACATCTTAGCCCGCCCCAGCACAATTTCTGAGGTTTACTGTGTGGGCGTCTTTCAGGTGGGACTTAAAATCCAAGGTCTAGACCCCAGCGCTGACAGCCACGCAGCTTCTAGCACATTGAACAAAACAATCAGTGGCCAGTCTCATGTCCCATCTCTGAAGGAGACAGTCCAGTGTCACGAGTGGGAACCAGGGGCTGTGATACCTGCCCTAGAGAACCCTGCGGTCATGTACTACTGTCAGCACGCTGCTGGGATACTAGTTCTCAAACTGTGGTTGGCTCCTCCCCCAGAGGAATTTCTCTTACCAAGCTGTTCTCTGAGCTCAGCCCATTTCTTTCCTCTTTCTCGTGGGGGCTGTGTCACTCATGCCCCCTGCCCCGACTGCAGGTCCTGAAGGCTGCAATCTCTTCATCTACCACCTCCCTCAGGAGTTTGGGGACAACGAGCTGATGCAAATGTTCCTGCCTTTTGGCAACATTATCTCCTCCAAGGTGTTCATGGACCGAGCCACCAACCAGAGCAAGTGCTTTGGTAAGCGAGCCCCTTGCCAGCAGCAGCAGGATGCCCTGAGAGGCAGGGTAGGAGGGCAAGGCTGTTTGCCACAACAGTCCTCCGGGGCACGGGCATTCCCACGGGGCGCTGTGATACAGAGGCGTTTGGGACCCCCAGAGTGGCTCTGGATGGAGGGGAGGCTACATCAGAAGTGTGAGGGAGTTGCTCAGCAAGGTGTATGTGTGTGCTCCCACAGGTGGAGCAGGGATGTGTTTGGACTGGGAGCATGTGGGGGGGGCATACACACACAGGGAAATATGTGTATGGCCTTTGTGAGTGTGTCTGTGTATATACCAGTTGATAGGTGTATATTGTAAGGAGAGAGAGAGTGCGTACGTGCTCCCTCCTCCAGCAATAGATGAGCACACAGCCAGCAGGAGAAAGGGCATGGACAGTTTATAGGGATTTGTATAGGTCACTGTGTTTATTGGTGTGAACGCTCAGTGTTTATGCATGAATGTGACCAGGTAGCTGTGTTGTATGTACACCACACTGTGCACCTGCAGCGTTTACAGAGGGGGGACTGAGGCTTGTGCTGACTGACTCTGAGTACAGTGATATCTGGAGTCTCTCCCCTATGCTGGGAGCAGATTTCAGTCTAGGCCCTGCTCTTGTATCCATTCTGTCTGCTGTCCTTACCAGCCTCCCACCACTGTGAAGCCATATCTGTGGAACACAGAGGGCATGGCTGATGGACATGAGGCTTCTTTTGAGCAGCAGAGGCTGATCCCATGGAATAGCAGGGCAGAGACCTAGCACTAGCCTTTAATCAACGGGGAGCCAATGCAGAGAGTGGAACATGGGGTGCTCACCACGTTGGCTGCTGCCTTTGTCCTCCGCTGGAGCATTTTTTCAACCGATGTGGCCTCACTCCCAGGCTTGGAGAGTGCAGTAGTGCCGATCATGGCATCAGAGATTAAACTAAGTGGCACAGGGCACAGCCTCTTAGCAGTAGCAGTTGGAAGGGGATGATTTCTACCAGCATGGCTATCCTAGAATAGATGGATTTGGGCCAGTGCACCTCAGCAGTCTTGGTCAGATGCTGGGGCATTTGATCCATGAGAAACTGTGACACTCTCCCTCCCCGGGTCTTTGTTGTGCAGGTTTTGTGAGCTTTGACAACCCCTCCAGTGCCCAGACTGCCATCCAAGCCATGAACGGCTTCCAGGTCGGAATGAAGAGGTTGAAGGTTCAGTTAAAACGGCCTAAGGACGCCAGCCACCCCTACTGACATTATGTCCAACCAGGATTCGGTGCTGCAGCACAGGTAAAGTATCAGACCCCCTAGCTCCTGCTCCCACACAGGGCCACCTCAACTGCTGCCCTGCCACTGATCATCTGCTGAAAGCGCTTTGCTAAAAGGAGGTTACGCAGCCTCAGCTGTTCCGCCAACCTGACTGCCTTTCTGTAGAGTGAGGGTTTAATACTGAGAAATTGTGCATGTGACAGGGGCTTAGACTCTGGCACAGTCTCCCAAGGTAAGTGAGGGAAGCCATAACACTTGGCTCATTTAAAAATGGATTTGAGCATTTGCTGATGGGAAGGATCCAGAATTGGTCAGAGAGTACAGAAAACATGGGACCAACAGTAGCTCTGTCCTACAGCCAGAGACACAAAGAGCTTCTATCTCCTTTCTGTGGACACAGGGCCAATACAGTGGGTTAGTACCCAGCCGCCAGGATGAAGCATCATTTCTGCAGTTTGCTTTGGATCCGATTTGGGGTTCTGGAGTAGTAGCTTGTTTTTCTCTTTTGGCATCCTAGGATGGAGGGAGCAGGGCTGGCTTTACCATGAAGCGAACTGAGGCGGCCGCCTCAGTTGCCAGACTGGGGGGGGAGGGCGCCACTAGGACCCAGAGTTTAGAAAATTTTGTCTGCTGCTGGTGCAGATGTATTCTCTCTGCTCTAGATGCACAGAGATGGGAGAGTGCTGTGTGGAGGAAGGAGGGCACAAGAGACAGAACAGGAAGAAGGCAGAATTGAGACCTTTCAAAGTTTTGGCCCAAGCAAGGGAGCATGGGGGCGTCATTTGAGCTCCCTGCCTCAGGTGCCAAAATGTTGTGGGCCAGCCCTGAGAGGGAGTGTGCTAGCAAGGACTCTAGTGGAAGAGTTTGGAGCTCCAGGGAGTTTGCTTGGCATCAGGGACCTAGCAAACGCTGGCACTTGCAGCAGTTCCTATATGGGAAACTCTTCTCCCCTGGGATGCAGCAATAGGAACTCTAGGGATGCCTCAGCTTCATCAGGTAAATGATTAGTGGCTGATGGATATACTCACACCTGGCCACCATCTGAAAGTGGGTTTGGTAATTGCTTTGACTGCCAGTTCAAATGCTTCCACTTGCATTTGGGGCTATTCCACTACAATTCTAGAGCAATGTGTTGCTAATAGGCTACGGTGGTCTGTTTCACTCCCACATACGGAAACAGCTTAACACTGTTTACGCTGTCAGTCAAACACAACTTCTCCTTCAAGTGGTTCCCATGGGAGCTCCAGTCTGGATGCTGGTGCATCCTCGCGCCGGCGATTGGAGACTTTTCTAGCAGTTTCTGCCGCGCTGCTCAGGCGCTGCAGCGCCCTCTAGTGCCTTTGGAAATCTTGGGCGCAGGCACAGCACGGCCCTCCGTTCCTTCTCTACCATCCTCAGCAGCAGACGGAGCCAACTGTTCTCATTCCTGTCAAGAAAATAGTTAAATACCCAGTTTTAATCCATAGTTTCCTCATTAGCCAAGTTTTTTAGCCCTCTTCTCCTCCCGTCAAGTTTAAAAAAAAAATTCTTCATTAGCCAAGTTTTTTAGCCCTCTTCTCCTCCCGTCAAGTTTTAAAAAAAAATTCTCGTTGCGGTTCGCCGCTTTTCCCCAACCCTTCATGTCCAGTTCCCCGGGCTTTAAGAGGTGTGAGTCATGTTGGGGACGCCATGCCCATTTCGGATGAGCACTCCAAATGTATTAAGTACCCAGGGGAGGTGCATCAAACTCAAAAGCGCCTCCACTGTTCCAAATTAACAGCGAGGGCATGCTGGGACCGAGCCAACAGACTCAAGACACTTCTATATGAGAAGTCCCTTCGTCCGTCCTCGGAGGACTCTCCTATGGCCTCAAGACTGGTTCAGTTGAGTAAGGGTATGGAGAAAAATCATCCCTCTACCCACTCTGGCCCTATGACCTCAGAAACGGGTCTTTCTCTGACTGTTGCTACCCTTGGCACCATCAGCCGCACGGGTCAGCACCGATGATAGGCCAGGAACCTCAGGTATGGCGCCACTTAAGACATCGGGCACCGCATAAAAGAGCTCACTCAGAGCCAAAACAGAGGTCAGCGGCACCAACTGGTACGGCACTGGAGGCACCCTTGGTGCCGATCACACCAGCGGGCCAGCACAAGGATTGAGTGGCACCGAAGCACCACGCCAAAACGGCACTGGGCTCGGCGCCGAAGAAGGCTCGTGCCGACATGCCACCGTGGAGTAGTTCGGCACTGGAATGATCTTCAGCACCGCCATCACCACCAGTATCCACACTGCCCTGCACCGACAGGTGCGCGAGCGGTACCGATCCCCAGTTCGAAGCCACACGTCAACGGCACTGCCTTTCCCAGGCTCCTCCATCCATTCAGTGAGGTCCCGCCACTCGTCGGTCGTCTCTCGCTCCTCCAGTGACATCGGCACCGAATCCAGGAGCAGATTCTCCTCGCAGCACTCTAGCCTGGCACACAGACCTCCCCCCTGGCAGCCTGCCGTGGTTCAATATGCATACCCTCCCCCTCCGCATCCGTGGTAGGCACAACAATACGCCTACCTGCCACCTCCATATACCACCCAATGGCAACCCTGGGAGCCACATCCTAAAGAGGGCCACCGTCATGCCCCTTCTACCATGTTGCAGCCCCCTCGGAGGCACACGACTCTATGAACGGGAGACTAGGTCACCTCTTCATAACTTGTCCTCTTCCCCAGATGAAGCGGTCACAACTGAAGCCGCACCATCTGGCGATGACGCTAGAAAATTTCAAGACCTTTTCCAAAGAGTAGCTATAGCTCAGGAAAGAGACCTCCAGGAGGTACAGGTGAAACAAAATCACCTTCTCCACACGTTGCAGCCTTCAACCGCCTCCAGGATAGCTCTCCCCATGGACGAGGCTATTATGGACCCGGCCGACAACATCTGGCAAACTCCAGCATCCATCACCCCAACAAATAAGAGGGCGGATCGCAAGTACTTCATCGCACCTAAAAACATGGACTTCCTTTTTACTCACCCACCTCCAACCTCCCTAGTGGTAGACTCGGTACGGCACAAAGGTAAACAACCCAACCTCAGAACCACCCCACAAGATAGGGACCACAAGAAAGTGGATATCATGGGTTGGAAAGTTTATTCGTCAGCCACATTACTTCTCAGGGCTGCTAATTACACTGCCATGCTCACAGACTATGATCATGCTAACTACTTGAAGCTACAAGATTTGCTCCAACACCTTCCGGAACATAAGAGGCCGACCTTACTCAACATCATGCAAGAGGGACATACCATCTCCCGTACAGTCCTACAGTCCACCATGGACATTGCGGACACCGTGGCTCGCATTACGGCCTCCACGATTGTCCTCCGCAGAATATCCTGGCTACAGGCATCTGGGGTACCTAGGGATCTGCAACAAAAGGTTGAGGACCTACCTTTTGACCGAACCAACCTTTTCACAGCTAAGACAGATGAAGTTTTGCACTCCATGAAGGACTCCCGTACTACTCTCAGGACCCTGGGAATGTACACTCCTCCCTTCAAGAGAACTAGGCACCAGCCTTACCAACGCCCGAGAGAGCCCTTCAGGCAGCAGCCCAAGTACGATTTCCGCCCAAAACAAAGACCTCAGCGGTGTAGACCTCAATGACAACAACACCACCACCTCACAACCCATCCACCAGCAAGCAAGCAGCAGGTTTGAAGGTCAGGTCGAGAGCCAGGAAGCCAATCCGCTGCTACGGCCAACTGATACTCCTCGGTTCCACCACCCCCTCCGGGCCTTTTTCCACCAATGGTCTCTCATCACTTCGGACAAATGGGTCCTGGAACTGATCCAATATGGTTACACTATCCCATTTACCTCCCTTCCTCCTACTCTATCCCTCTTCAGGGACCCCTCTCACGAAATGGTTCTCCAACAGGAGGTTTCGCATTTTCTTCAACTGGGCACAGTGGAACAAGTACCACCACAATTCCAAGGCTGGGGTTTCTACTCAACCTACTTCCTAACCCAGAAGAAGACTGGAGGATGGCAACCCATCTTGGACCTGAGGCGCCTCAACAAATACATTGCATACCACCGTTTCAAGATGGTCACTCTTGCAACAATCATTCCCACACTCGATCAAGGTGATTGGCTTTTAGCTCTCAACCTCCAGGATGCCTACTTTCACATCACGGTTCATCCTGCTCACAGACGTTTTTTACAGTTTATGGTAGGCACCGAACACTATCAATACTGGGTGCTCCTGTTTGGCCTCTCAACTGTCCAAGGGTGTTTTCCAAGACTCTGGCAGTTGTAATGGCCTCATTCCGATGACAAGGGATCATAATATTCCCATACTTGGACAATTGCCTCATAAAGAGCGTGTCCTTTCACGAAACCAAGGCCACAAGAGACACCACAATAGCCCTTCTACTCAGCCTCGGTTTTCACATAAGCTATGCAAAATGCACCCTACTCCCAACGCAGAGGCTGGAATTCATAGACACCCTCATCGACACAGTTGCAGCAAGGGCTATGCTTCCCGATCACAGGTTCACGACCTTATCCAGACGGCAGAGTCGGTTCCAACCGTGACGGTCTGCGACTGCAACAAGATCCTTGGGCACGTGGCCTCCACAACCTACGTCGTCGAATTGGCCAGACTCCACATGAAACTCCTTCAGTCCTGGCTCGCGACGGTTTACAAACCTTCCAAAGACCAACTCTCCAAACTCGTGGCCATTCCACCGCGCATCCTCAACTCCCTGCTTTGGTGGACAATTCCACAGAACATGCTGGAGGGCGTTCCCTTCCAGCGTCATCCTCCCATGCTCACAGTTATAACAGACGCCTCACTTATGGGATGGGGGGCCCACTTAGGGAACATCACAAGCCAGGGCAAATGGTCATTCACGGAACAAACCTTCCATATCAACCTCCTTGAGTTACAGGCGGTCAGATATGCATGCCAACATTTCAAACAGTACATAGTGCACAAGTCCATTACCACCTAACGTAGTGAATACAAGCAGAGAGAGGGTAAGTTTAGAAGATAGGATACACAAAGAACAAGTTAAAAATCACTTAGGAAAGTTAGATGTCAGCAAGTCACCAGGTCCTGATGAAATGCATCCCAGGATACTCAAGGAGCTGATAGAGGAGGTATCTGAGCCTTTAGCTATGATCTTTGAAAAATCATGGCAGACAGGGGAGATTCCAGAAGACTGGAAAAGGGCAAATATTGTGCCCATCTATAAAAAGGGGAATAAGAACAACCCAGGAAATTATAGACCGGTCAGTTTAACGTCTGTCCCAGGGAAGATAATGGAGCAGGTAATTAAGGAAATCATATGCAAACACTTGGAAGGTAATAAAGTGATAGGGAATAGCCAGCATGGGTTTGTGAAGAACAAGTCATGCCAAACTAATCTGATAGCTTTCTTTGATAAGATAACGAGCCTTGTGGATAAGGGAGAAGCGGTGGATGTCATATACCTAGACTTTAGTAAGGCATTTGATACGGTCTCGCATGATATTCTTATTGATAAACTAGGCAAATATAACTTAGATAGGGCCACGATAAGGTGGGTGCATAATTGGCTGGATAACCGTAGTCAGAGAGTTGTTGTTAACGGTTCTAAATCCTGCTGGAAAGGGATAACAAGTGGAGTTCCTCAAGGGTCTGTTTTGGGACCCGTACTGTTCAATATCTTCATCAATGATGTAGATATTGGGATAGAGAGTACTCTTATTAAGTTTGCAGATGATACCAAACTGGGTGGGGTTGCAACTTCTTTGGAGGATAGGGACATAATTCAAAATGACCTTAGCAAGTTAGAGAAATGGTCGGAGGTAAACAGGATGAGGTTTAATAAGGAGAAATGCAGAGTGCTCCACTTAGGAAGGAACAATCAGTTCCATACATACAAGATGGGAAGCGACTGTCTAGGAAGGAGCATGGCGGAAAGGGATCTAGGGGTCATAGTGGACCACAAGTTGAATATGAGTCAACAGTGTGATGCTGTTGCAAAAAAAGCAAATATGATTCTAGGTTGTATTAACAGGTGTGTTGTAAGCAAAACTCGTGAAGTCATTCTGCCGCTCTACTCTGCGCTAGTTAGGCCTCAGCTGGAGTACTGTGTCCAGTTCTGGGCGCCACATTTCAAGAAAGATGTGGAGAAATTGGAAAGGGTACAGAGAAGAGCGACAAGAATGATTAAAGGTCTAGAGAACATGACCTATGAAGCCAGGCTTCATGAACTGGGCTTGTTTAGTTTGGAAAAAAGAAGATTAAGGGGGGACATGATAGTGGTTTTCAAATATCTAAAAGGGTGTCACAAGGAGGAAGGAGAAAATTTGTTCCTCTTGGTTTCTGAGGACAGGACATGGAGTAATGGGCTTAAAGTGCAGCAGGGGAGGTTTAGATTGGACATTAGGAAAACATTCCTAACTGTCAGGGTGGTCAAATATTGGAATAAATTGCCAAGGGAGGTGGTGGAATCTCCCTCTCTGGAGATATTTAAGAACAGGTTAGATAGACATCTGTCAGGGATGGTGTAGACGGAGCTTGGTCCTGCCTTGAGGGCGGGGGGCTGGACTCGATGACCTCTCGAGGTCCCTTCCAGTCCTATTATTCTATGATTCTATCATGCTGGACAATACCACCTGCATGTACTATATCAACTGACAAGGGGGGACTCGGTCCCCTTCCCTGAGTTCGGAAGCTATCAAGTTCTGGAACTGGTGCCTGACACAGAGTCACCCCGTTGGCCGCTTATCTCCCAGGCGTGCGCAACGTCACAGTGGATGCCCTAAGTCGTACATTCCAAGATCAGCACAAACGGGAGCTCGACAGACATGCCCTCACTCCACTCTTCCTTCGGTGGGGCCAACCAGACATAGATCTCTTTGCCACAAAAAACAAAAGGAAATGCCATCTTTATTGCGCCAGAGGAGCCCTGGGAAAACATTCCCTCGGAGATGCCTTTTCCATCACATGGGATGTCCCTCTCCTTTATGCATTCCCCCCTTCCCGCTCCTACACAGAGTCCTCAACAACATCAGGACAAACCAGAAATGGGTCATACTAGTGGCACGTGCATGGCCCAGACAGACGTAGTATCCTTACCTCTTCAAAATGGCGGTGATGGACCCGTATCCCTTCCCTCTCCACCATGACCTCCATCGCAGAACCATGGGAGGACTCTCCATCCAGACATTCTCAAGCTCTACCTCCACGCCTGGCTCCTTCATGGCTCCAGAATGCCAAGATTACCTGCTCGGAACAGGTGAAGGACATACTGATCAACAGTAGAAGACATTCCACTAGAAGAACTTACTTATACAAATGGAATCGATTCTCTCACTGGTATAGTCGGGTACATGCAACCCCTCCAGAGTCCACACTTTTATCTACCTTACTGAACTACTTATTATCCCAAAAACAGTCAGGCCTTACACTCAGCAGTATCAAGGTCCACACCGCCGCCATAGCTGATTTTCATCATCCTACAGATGGCGTTTCTTTCCTCGCTAACCCATTGACCAAACACCTCTTTAAAGGCCTACAGAATACCTTTCTTCCTGTCTGTCCACTGGTCCCCGTCTGGGAACTGAACCACATTGTAAAAAGCCTGACAAAGCCACTGTTCGAGCCTCTAGCCACCTGTTCTTGGTCTCATTTATCTATGAAAGTATCCTTCCTTGTTGCAGTTACCTCCAGCAGGAGGGTGAGCGAGCTCGCGGCCTTGATGGCTGATCCTCCATACACTGTGTTTACAAACGACAGAGTGATACTCTGACCCTACCCGAAGTTCCTCCCCAAAGTACCCTCCCCCTTCCACGTGAATGAACCCATACACTTACCTGCCTTCTTTCCAAAGCATTACACCGGCCCAATCCAGGCTGCATGGCACACTCTTGACATCTGACGAGCACTGGCGTTTTATGTCGACCACACGAAGCTGTGGTGAGCCTCACCTAGGCTTTTCATCTCCTACACTGAAAGATCTAGGGGACAAGCAGTCTCATCTCAGAGAATCTCGAAATGGATTACCTCCTCCATTCGAACTTGTACAACCTTATACGACAAGCACTTACCTGAAAACATCACGGCTCACTCCACCAGGGCGGTGGCTTCCACAACCACCTTCCTTCATAACATTCCACTCCAAGACATTTGTAACGCTGCCACCTGCTCATCTGACCACATTTTTGCGCAGCACTATGCACTCTCCTCTTCTATAGCATCGTCCATGGCAGTGGGGCACACAGTGCTGTCCACAGTGACTACCACATGGCTCCAAACCCTCCTCTGTGAGCCGACAACTGCTCTGTAGTCACCCAGAGTGGAGCACCCACGGGGACCACTCGAAGGAGAAGAAAGAGTTACTCACCTTATGTAGTAACAGTGGTTCTTCGAGATGTGTCCCCGTGGATGCTCCACTACTCTCCCTCCTTCCCCTGCTTTGGAGCCTTGTACTCTAGCGGGTAGAGAAGTAACAGAGGGGCCGTGTCACGCACATGCCCAAGAATTCTAACAGCACTAGAGGGAGCTGCGACACCTGCGCGGTGCAGCAGAAACTGCTAGAAAAGTCTCCGATTGCCGGCATGAGGACTCACCAGCACCCAGAGTGGAGCACCCATGGGGACACATCTCAAAGAACCACCGTTACTGCACAAGGCGAGTAACTCTTTCAGAAGCCACACTCCCTCTATTCTAGTGGTCAGGCTATGTATGAAGGCTTAGGAGTCTGGTATAGCCTTTGAGCTATTGGAGGGTTCAACACATTTAGATCCCTAAGTGGAGGGAAGGCTGGAGGGGTGAGGAGCTCTGCAGCCAACCCCTAATCACAAGGTCACTTTCCTGCAATGGAGGGGAAGGGTAGGTTTCAGCAAGGACGATGAGAACCCCTTGGTGTAGACCTAGGGTCTTCTAACCTCCCTACCTCCCTCTTTTTATGCAGGTGAAGGAACAGTTCAGAGGAAGAAGAATTTCTGCTTCAAGCTGATTTCAGGAGAGGACAGGAAATTTAAGAACTCTTTTGACACTGCCCCTTTCCTTCCCCCCCACCCCAACAATGTGATGTTCCGAAGAGAAGAGACGCTTTCGAAGGCTCGACACCTGCCCAGTGAGAAGATTCTTGTCATGACTGGTTCAGACGTTTGCTGCTGCCACCGCCACCACTACTGTGGTTCTTCTGATACTCAATTGGTGATGTCAAGGCTGAAATTTAAAACAGGGAAAGGAGCAGAGGGAGCAAGAAGAGGGCAGGTTAAATATGAATACGCTTAATGCTGCTGTAGAGTTGGATCAACAAATCTTTTCTCTTTACTAACACCTTTAACCCACTGATGTCAAAATGCCTTGCAAACATTAATGCTTCATAGCATCCCCACAAGACAAGTGAGTAGGTAATAGTATATTTCCCAAACAGACAGGGAAGCTGAGGCCAGAGGTTAAGCAATTTCTCCTAGGTCACAAGTCAGTGGCTGAGCTGTAAATACCTGCCACAACTCCTCTTCTCTAACCACCAAACCCTATTTCTAACATGTCTTTTTACATGGATTTTCAAATCAGTTAATTTACAGTGAAAAAAATCTACGATGAGGAAGAATGAGCATTTCAAAACCAGAAATAGTAGCGTAAATGTCAGTGAACATGCCCTTTTGAGATCTGTGGCAATTCCTAGCTTTTCCTAGCTTTTTCCTGGTGACATTAAATTGTTTCCTGTAAAGCACTTTGAAATAGTCAATTACTGGCCACTACCCAAGTTCAAAATACCATTGTTGTAATAGAGGGGTGACATTTGCTGGGAAGTGAAAACATTGGACATGTTTCTTCTCCCCAGCTGGAATGCATGCCACTCCAGAAGACAGAAAGAAAAATCTTTTGGAGTACTATTGGAACTAGGTCAGATGAAATATAAAGGAGAGCAAGTAGTTGTGGCATCCAATATGGAGCGTGGGGCAGAAAGATTAACACAAATGATTTACCATTCAAAAAATTACGCTGGTTTTCCAGAATTTGGTTGATTTCATGGATCCACAACTGGCGCATGCCTGGATTGGCAGAATGCAAAACAAAGGTCTCTGTGACATCACCCATTCTTGATGTTAGTGCAAATTTACAAGGATCATTGTCCACGTTTTCCTCCAGGCAAAGACAACTCACCTTAATGAAAGAAAATTTTTTACTGGACCAATTATATTCCAAAGATACCATAAATATGCCCTAGACAGTAGCTTTGAACTGCTACAGTCTTTGAACATTCAACATAATAATTATATCATGGAGTCAGGATTACCGTAAAATAAAATATGAAATGAAACTCAGAATTAATGATGAATACTTGTCATCCTTGTCACCCCACTTAAGATCTCACTTAGTCATTAAGGCACCAAAGCATTTTTCATGTCGGACAGAAGTCAAAGTGATCCATTCCAAGTAAGCACTGTGAAATTCCCCTTACCAGACTCCTCCTTTCACTCCTTCCTTTTATTTAAAATACTGCAGTAGATTTGTATTTTTAATTTGCAGTATATAAAATTTTCACTGCAAGAAAGCAACTATTTCCAAGGAAGTACAAGCTGCCAAGTCAGAGTAGGATCACAAGCACAGCTTGAATCCACAGCTCAGTATAGCCAATCAGATCATCCCATGCTTATACCACTCTACTCTAATGCTCGGAACTCCCCAGTCAGATTACTTCTGGGCATTTCAAAGCAGCACACTACTGCTTCAGGGTCATGCCAAAATGTTTCAGAGACTAACCTGTGGAAGTCGAGAGAGATGATCTGACAGATGAGCTAGTCAAGATTTCAGTACTGCTGGCAAGCATTGCATCTGGCTTGGGCTGAGATTTCTTGCAAATAATACTTTCGAGTTACTGCCTTCAAGCTTTAAGATATACACTTCTACTATAAGGGCAATTACCTCTGATAGGATGTGAACACCAAGTTGAGACGCAGCCCTTTAGTACAGAGTCGTGGTGTCCATGCAGCTATTTGACTGGTTGAGTGTGTTTAGAGGTCTAGAACAATGTGACTATTTGGCTAGTTGAGTGTGGCTAGTTTGCTGCTTTAGAAATGGATGGATACCATGGGTGTAGAGCATGGGTTCCCAAACTGGGGAGGGAGTGAAGAAATTCCAGAGGGGAGGAGGAGGCGCAAGGCAACCCAGCCCCCCCCCAATCAAGTTTTGCTGCCCTGGTCAGTTCCCTTTTTTTTTTTTTTTGCTCAACAAGTTTTGCTATTTTTTTTCGGGGGTGGAGGGGAGAGGGAAGGCATGAGGGCTTTTCAAAAATCAAAAAGGGAGCATGATGACAAAAAGTTTGGGAACCACTGGTGTAGAGCATATCTAAGTTACAATGAATACATGTGTATTGCTATAGTTAAGACAGAAGAGGTCAGAAAGCCTTCGTGGAAATATTTTCATGTGTTGTAATAACTGAGCAAAGAATTGCTTGCAAGTATTTTTAATAGAGAGTTTGGCACTTACTATTTTTCTAGGTTTACTGGTAAAGACATGAGTTCATGACTGTGTAGGCCATTACCAAAAGATGATTACCTTGGTACCCATTGCACAAACCCTATCGTGCTCATAGACAACAGTTACCTTGATACTGTTTTTAAACAAGAATCCCGGCATGGAGAAACCTTTCTTTTTATCTAGTGGCTCACTGAATATGACAATCTGTTCAAACAGGAAGACACGCCTTTCTTTGCAACGTGGCAGAAGTCCTGTGTCTTGGTCTGTGACCAGGAATGTGTCCTGTAGCAGGAGCTTACCCTGGGCTACAATTTTACCCTACAAAACAGAAGCAGAAACAATTTCATTTAATACATTACTTTTTCTGAAACTCTCCACAATTAAGAGACTTCAAGGGAAAAAAAATCTTATTGCAAGGTTTTTGGTTTTTTTTATCATTCAAAGTAGTTTTTATGTATATGTTTGCTGATAGATACATGAGAGAGAGGCACTAACCCCAAAAACTTAAATCATATGTATGCAACTGATTTTTTGCGGTATGCTAATTTCAGAATGATGCTATCATAACGAAAACATTTCCAATGCTGATAGTTCCTCAGTTCAATTTTACTGACATAGGAGTCAAGTAGTGCTAGAAACAAGACTGGCCACATTTTCTGTAACATGGGCGAAATGCCGTACTAGGCTGACCTGCTCTTCGGAAGAGATTCTCATTTCCTATTTTGCATCAACATAAGTAGGAGCAAAAATTTGTGTCACAGACCGTGAGAAACACATAGCCATCCTAGCTACGATATAAATTCATCTGGGAATGTGTCATAAGGAGAATAGAAATGTGTGTTCCATTTTAAGAAAAAAGACAACTTACATCAAACCCTTGCAGGCGGCCAACATTCATCATGTCGTTGCACCGTTTTGGTACTATGCACATGACCTCTACAGCTTTCTGTTAAAGCCAAGGAGAAAGATTCAAAATGTAACTCTCCAGTGGAGGATTGTGTGTGTGACAGCAGGGGCTTTACAATATAGTTTAGTGTATTTAATCTGCAGGACAATTAGAGCTGAAACAGAACAGTAGTTTTATATAAACAGACTTGTTCAGTGCCACACTGTACATAAAAGAAATGTGGTGCATGATATGAAAGACAATAAAGAAAATGTCAAAAGTACCTCTAGTTCTGTTGTGTCAAGGTTAGCTTTTTTAGAGTATTTGAGGAAGTCCTGTAATGGAAAAGGCAAAATTATCTCAAGTCCAAATTGCTCTTCAACAAACAGAGAAAGCTGAACAAAATGGACTGGCTCTTATTTGTGTTAGTGTTACAAGTTCCAAAAAGATGCTCTTAAGAAAATAAGAAAAAGACTTAATTTTTCAAAGCCTCTTCCTGACATGAATTGTGTGTTTTTAGTGTTAGGTTTTGTATCTGATTTTGGATCACTGAACAACATTTACTAAGTCAATCAATCCTCTTTGGTAGAACGGGTCAAAATACATTTTGCCAAACATTCAGAAAAAAGGTGCTAAAAATAATAAAAGTGATTAAAAAAATCAGAGGAAAATCAAAAAAATTTGTCCTTCAGTCACATTAGTGCAAATCCTAAGCTTTCCCACTACATTGAAGAGTTACACTGGTTTAAATAGTATCAAATTTGTGTCTAAGCTATTTACTGTTATTCTGAGAATTATGTGAACCCAAGTGAGGAAACAAACTGAAATATAGTATTACAATTTCTAGCCTATGTCAGGTACCAAGAGGCCCCTTTACAACTTACATTCTATCACCCAAAAAAACAAAGTCAACAGTAATAATACTCTCCAGTCCTTTAGTAAAGGTGGTTACACCGAAAGGGTACCCAGCATCATCTCACCTTGAGTAACAATTGGTATTTCATAATTCGCTGCACTGGTTTTATTAGCAAGTCTGTGAGCTGAAGTCTGTGGCCGAGACGCTGCTTTAAGTCCTAAAGATTGTAAAGTGAAGAGTGTTAGCGTTAAATTTTACTGGTTTTATTGGTATATACAACAGTACTTCTATTGTCATGGAGCTAAAATGAGACCAGAAATTAATCTAATCTTGAATTTGTGCTTCAAATTCTCATGTTCTTGTGACAACCTTAAAAGCCATTCCTCTGTTTTATTTCTACCATCTTTATTCCGAAAGTATTCAAAGCTGACTTTTCAAAGCTTTTCTTATAACCATGGGCCCCAGTTTGGATCCAAACCTGCAAAAGCTTATGTATATGAAATTAAATGGTAATGCTCAAATGCTTCCAATATTTGCAGAACTGAGACCTTAAGATGGTCTCATGGGGAGACTAATATGATGCTATCTGCAAAGGATTTAGGATAATGTGTTCAGTGAGCTGCTGGTAGAACAGTCACACAAGGTCCTGTACACCTCTTATGAGCTGCGGAAAGGATTTCTGTCTCAGCCCACAAAGGAATAAACCAGGCCTGAGGCTTCAAAACCACCTCTCCACAGATCCAATGACACCAATACCTATGCAATTACTCAACTACTATTCCATCCCACTGGCTGGAATGACAACCCTCAAAAGGGACTAGAAACCTCAAACAACTCTCACAGACAGGCAGTGAAAGGCAGATTTTACTTCCTCAACAATCCTTCATTATATCCAGCTAGAGATCAAGTACTCTTGCATGATGGAGGATGAATAGATTTTATTCTGAGTTTATTCATAAAACATTCCCACCGACTTCAACTGTGCTTTTGTCAGAGTCATGAGTACAGAATCAGTATCTCAAGAAGGTTTTATTTCTAATTATGAAAGAAATTATCTTTATAATTCATAATGTTTGCTTTTAAATGTATTTATTTTATTACTGCAAATGGTTATTTTTGCCTATTTAAGGCCCCCTGGGTTGATCTGCAGAACTGGTAGGCTACTATAACACACTTATAAGGCAAAACCTTGAGCTAAAGGTTTTATCTTAACACCTAATGCTTTATGTACAGCATCAAAGATTCTGATGAGTCTCAAAAGTACAGTATAAAGAAAGCAAAATTTGTCATTTGCATCCATATTGTAATCCATTCCTCTGTCTGCACTACTGTTCAATAATAAGTATAATGCATTAAAACTATCCTCTTTGGTCTACTACAAGTGAAGCTCATTCATTTGGTATCAATTAATTCATCTCAAATTTGAATATCAGTACTCCCCTTCTGAGAGTAGCAGTGGCAGTATTAATCTCTCTCAACTGTGAGAGTTCTGGAATGAAACCCAACTTCCACCCTGAAAATGTCTATTTTTTCCTCAGACTTACCTCAAAAAATGTATCAATGTATTCCGAGACAATGTGCTCAGACTTTGGTTTGTTTTGGCAGTAAACTATGTACATGTGCAACCTTCTCTCCTAGGAAGGACAAACAGAGGCATACAAATATAATGTACTAAAGTAAAAAATAAAAATAAAATAAAAAAGAGAGACAGGCTGAAATAGAGTAAAATAAAAAAGCATACATATTTAAATGTATACTTTTACATAAAAAGGGTCATTCTGCCTTCTGGTTGAGTAAGTTATGGATTAAGAGCAAATATACAGGTATACTTAAAACATATCAAACCTAAGAAATTAATCAGAGATTAAAAATAATCCTCAAATACTTTGACATATCTGTATAAGAAGAGTTAGTATATCTTGAAAATTGGATACATATGACCCAGAAATGTAACTGTACATACACAAACGTCCACACAAATACAACTCTTACTGCAACATTAAGAATGACAAAGTCATGGGAAAACAGACAATTTGGTTGTATATAGTATTTTGAATGTCAAAGTATTTAATAAAATTGGCATTTGAATTATTACTACTAAGCTGCTGATTAGTGTGGTATCCAGGTGCAGTACGCTATAATTATTTCCATTTTACAGCAAGACAGGAAGGAAAAAAACAGTGAGTGACTTGTCTAAGGCTGCAGAAAAAAGCAGTGCCAGAGCCAGAATTCAAATTCATGAATTCCTTGGCTCTTAAACTTGTGCCCTTTTCTTCCACTATAAGAGGCAGAAGTCCCATTGCAGAAGACATATGATGTGAGACTGGAGAGGGAGCTAAAGAAAAATCTGCATTATAATTTGAAAGGATGGTCATAAAACTACAGCGCCCTAAAAGAGGAGCTGAAAATGAGTTAAGAGACAGGTGCCACGTTAACAAGTTTCTCCCCACAAAGGCACTGCAAACAAAAATTAGATTCCTTGTTAACCTAATCCTGACCTGTGTGTGTGTGTGTGTCTGCCTCTTATCCAGAGTTGTTTTGTTCTACTGTCTTTTCAGCTGCACTGCTCCACAGATATGTCTTTTATATAACAAGGTTAGTCACTAGTAACATCAGTCATTAGCACTAGCTGCTTGAAAGAGGATGTTTGAACTTACATGCTTAACAAAGAGGGATCCCAGTTTTTCTGGATCTTCAAGGCACTTCTCCAATTCTCCTAAAAAGAAGCTGAACAAAGAAGAAATAATTTAGTTTGTACCACGTTACAGGCAGTCCCCGGGTTAC